GCAGTTTACTTTGCCAGAACGTTTGTTCAGCTTGAAGCGAAAAATGGCTAAGCACCTGCCACCGAACCTACGAATGTTGGACACCGAGAAACTAGCCGAGATGATCGGTACTAGCGTGGACAGGTTATTGGTGATCGACAGTAGATCGTTTGTCGAATATAACACTTCTCATGTGCTAAACTCAGTGAATATTGTGTGTTCAAAATTGGTGAAGCGGAGACTGCAACAAGATAAGGTATGTATAAAATATTTTTAATATTTATATTTATTATGTCTGATGTATCTATTTAAATTCAATTGAAAACAGTACAAACAACTGTTTTCATTGATTTTTACCTAAAAAGAAATTCATGCTAATAATATAAATGTGTTTGATTAAACAAAATTTCAATTTAAGACGAACCTCTTTTGTTTATAATTTACTAAAAAAAATAGTGCTGAATAATAATTGAAAAAGAAATATTTGTTTTTGTTAAAAACTTGTTGATTATGTATATACTATTGATGACTTTTAATCATTTCTGCCTTTTTTCGTTTTCACATTTTGAAAACTACTGATATTATCTAAGAAATATATAATACATGAATGCATTATCAGAATTATATAAATGCAAAAGTTGAAAAGTTTGTCCTTGGATTAATATTTAAATGAACTGAAAGCAATGATGTCATCACTGAGAAGGTTACCCCCAGCAGAAGCTATCTTCTTCTATGTACTGTATTCAGTGCAATCATGGTCAACATTTTGTTTATATTTCTGCTCAAATTCTGGCTTCTCGTGGATCTATATACATTTTATTTATGTTCACAAAAGAACTGTTCTTGGAAAGAAAATTACGTATTAATTAATTTATCTGAATAGATACTATGAAAAACAATAATTGTAATTTGTTTCATGTATTTTTGAATCTTTTAGTTGTATTTCCGTCCTTGTTCCTTTGTCCAGTTGTGTATGAAGTCTGGCATTGTTGCTAGGTGGAATCTGTGTATAGCATTACTCAACTGTATTCAGATGGTAATTTTTCTCCCTGAAACGGCCAAGGATTTGGGTGTTTGTATGAATCAAATAAGGGGAACCAACTGGAGCTTTTTATATTTCGAAGGTCGTCAAGAAATTTGCGTTGGATTTGAAAACTCATTTTTGGCAAGATTTACCCAACTGTCTGTTCAATTTTCTCAATGTAAAGCACAAAAGCTACCACTAATCTTCAACATCTCAAACAACAAAGCCAACAAAGCTCATTCCTAAATGTTGAAAATGAATCAGTTGCTTAAAATAATTCAAATCATAATGAGTCGATAATTTTGATTCACGCTCATACCCTAAAATAGATGTTGCGAAACTTTGAACGGGGTTTGGCTATTATTCTTTGAGGTGGGGTGGGGGTTCATGGTATTTTAAAGCAGCTCTGAAACATTACATATAAGATTTTGTGCATGCAAGAGTTTTGTTAACTTGGTCTAGATCCCCAACTTGGTTCTTGTAAATATCTTGTATATTACTTCCCCTAATTCTCGTCAAGTAAAATGAATAGATTCTGTTCATTTGGGAGAAATCCTGATGTTGACTGTGATATGTGGTGTCATTCTTATGATGTGGCAGTTTTTGTGTGTCTGAATCATCAACGTAAACTTAACCAAATACAATTACTGGTGATTTCTTTGTGATGTGTAATCAAGTTTACACTACAAGGGAATGCCTTAAAATAGAATTTGTGCAATTCACAGTGTAGTTACACCTGACCGACTGCTCAGGTTTGCTGAATCATTGTATCCAATTATTGGTGGGTCAACTCCCCTTATGAGCCATTTCCTTTCGTCGTCCCATTCATATTCCGTCTTAACCTGGCATACAGGAATCACACTTGTAGATCTAATGAGTAATGCTGTATGACATCATATTTGTTTCAATATTTTTTAAAATAATTTATTGTCATATAAATTTGATAGCTAATTATTAACAATTGATCTCCGCTTGCGTTTCATTTCAGTCAATGCTGTGTAATCGTATAGTTAACATTTATCGTTGCTTTGTCACTAGTGTCGCACTGAAAATAAAGACATTATATGCAATAGATTTCTAAGGATTTGTGGGAACAATTACTTAATATTATTTTGCTCCTCCCACCAGTTTAGCATACTCTTTAGACGATTCTTTTCATTGTTTAGAATTGCTGTTTTCTGTGAAAACTGCAATTTTGCTAATTAGACCTTGCTCAATAAAATAAAAATTGAATTTGAAAACCAAGTTACACAAAGGTCTTTTTCATTTTTTTTTTAAATTTTATTATTGAATAAAACCTTTCATGCATATATGAGAGCTACCCCCGTTATTGACTCCCCTTATACCTGGCATATTCAATTGTTTAAAACAGACTTTTTAACTAATTAGGCGTTTTAAACTTTTAAATGAAGGAAATTCCGTAACTAAAGCCTCTCCAGTGACCCAAAAAAACTAGCTGGTTCGTGTTACATATGAGTCATAGTAATGGTATTCAATCTGTCAGTCTAATATCAAGGCTGTTGCATGTACTTTTCTTGTGTCAATTTGGTGGCTAATTCGCATGCGAGTGATAAAGTCAATTATTGCCAATATCATAATTCACAAGTGACTTAGTAATTAGGTAATGTGATAAATTATTCATGTAGACGTTAGGTATTTAATCGTTGTGGCGTTGAAATAATTTAACATATATAGTCTTAAGTTCATGCAATAAACTTCTTGGGACTTACGTTGCACTTTGCATTCATGCAGCAGTACAATGTTCTGTTGCTACGTCAATTCTATTTTCAGTAAGATCCTGTAATCAACGATATTGGTGGCAAACATCAAAAAGACGTAACTTTGTCTTTCCATCTTTGGGCTTGTATATTATGTTTCTAGGTGGAGTTGCCATGGTTTTAGCTTTTGAATTTTAAAGAATTTTGCTGTAAACATTTTTTTGCTCTCGACGACGCTGCAACACTCTCTGCGATATCTGAATACACCAATCAGCTGTAGTGTTGAGAAATATGAAAGGATCTTTCAGTAAAATGTAAAATATTAATTAGCACTTGTAAATTAATTTTTAATTCTGGACATTAATAAATTCTGTAAGTTTTATTGAATGACTAGCAATATAACAGGAATTTTGATGCTCAATTAAACTTAGTTTCAGTCTTCGCTTTGCATTGTATTTGACATGGGTCCCATGTGACGCATGCAACTTCTAGGAAGCGTAAATGTGCGTCAAAGTGTTATGCGAACTGGAAACCAAATTTATAAAAACACTTACAGCTCCCAAGTGCTGGTGATCCAACATATGGTAAATAAACCAACTGGAGTGTGCCGACATATGGCAATGGAACTCCCTCAAATATGTGTTATTTTGCATAACAATAATGTTATTGTTATGCAAATTTTATTTTTAATAATGATGTCATCACATTATGCAAAATATAATGGCAGAACTGATCCTCCCTCTGATGTGTTGTTTACTGTTGTGTACGATAATAATATGTTTATTGCGACCGAATCCACTTTGGAACATTGATGTGAGTGGACAATAAAGTGTAAATAAATGGAAAAAA